ATATGGAAAGTCAAAGTCTGAAAATAAGAGTCGCCAACTCCCAGTATTGTTTTCGTTGCCTGTAAATTGAAAGCTTTTGCTTGCAAGCTTTGTAACTTCACCTGCTATGTCATTGTTGGCTGTTGCACTGAAGTCGGAGAAAGTGCAAACTTTTATTCTTGCTGCTTTCTTGCCGTAGATGATGCAGATGATCCAATGGAAATGAAGATAAAGCGTGACCACTCTGAAGAAAACGTAAAGAAAGGAAAAATGGCCAGGACCGCAGAACAAACCTAGATCCTGTCAGGGATTACCTTCTGGGAACTGAAGAATAGCAAATGGGGAGAGCCCGAGGCCAGTTCAGGAAACTCGTGTATAGTATCCAGTTGACCTGGACTAACTGTACTCATACTTGGCCCTGCAAATGGTATTTCTTGTCTGCAAACTGACCCCCAACAGAACAGTTCTTTATCTTGAATGTCTTTGTTAGTGCGGTTATTCTGAATGAAATTGTTTGCCTGTAAATGGCATTTGTTGCATATGTTAGATAAATTCAAGTGGTAACTGGTTTTGATAGGACATGTTGCTATAGCATCATTCAAATCCAGTTGATGTTCATGCATCTGTATAAATAGTTGGAAAGACTAATATTTAGCATTACAAAGTGCCAGATGAATGCCAGTTCAAGAATATATGCACATTAATGTTTTCACATACTAGTGTTAAAGGTATGATTTCACTGTCTTGCATAGACAGATTTAGGGATTTTCAGATTTGGTTCTTTAATTTCACCCAGTTTGTGCACACAGCAGCCTGTTATGAGATTGTGTGTAGTGCCCATGACTCAAATAGGATTTGTCGTGTACTCTAAGGGCAAGGTTGCAGAGTATCTTGCTGAATTAGGACTGATGTACAACTTCTTTCACCATCTTTAGATGACCCTGCTTGAGCAGGGGGGGTTGGACTAGATGATCTCCAGAGGTCCCTTCCAACCTTGGCTATTCTGTGATAACTGTCCTTCCTGGCTAGTTTCTCTAGAACTATAGGATAGTTACATGTCTTACATGAACAAAATAGTAAACATCTACTATTTCATTGAAATGTCTTATTGTGAAGTTTCACAAGAGTGATTATCTTTGTTACGACTGGGGTTTTGGTGGGGGAGGGGAGAAGGGTGGCTTTTTAATCAGTGTGTGATACTATTTTTGCTTTTACAAGAAATAAAAATGGTTTCTGACGTGAAAAAATAAAGGTGTCTGGAGCAATCCATTGTCACAATTGGCATCCATCTGTCCTCTTTGGAAACCTGGAAGCAAGACAACTCCAGTAGCAATCCCATGCGTCTAGAGTGAAAGGGTCCATGGACCCAGTGTAGAAGCAGCACATGGCCCATGTGAGCCAGGAGGTGGCCAAGCACTGCTCCTACCAGCTCATTTTCCAGTGTTGCTGATGAACTGCAGGACCTGTCAGAGAAAAGCACAATGGCAGCAGAGTGGCGCTGCCTGCTGCTTTTGCAATAAACGTAAAAGTGGCAAGAACTGTCACCTGGATCTGAGACGCTGGTTGTGTCCTCCCTGCTGTGTCAAGTCTGCATCGAGCTGCTGGAGGTGCTGATGTTGTTGGCATTTTAGCTCCTCTACAGCAAACCTCATGATTGCAATGATGACAGAAAGAAAGGCAGCTACCCAGCCCCGTGATGTGAGGAAGAAGGCCAAAGCAGTACATATTACTTTGGGGAAGGTGACTGCTGCTCTACCTGCTGGCATCCGTAATCTGGGAGGTTAATTGGGTTCCTTACAGTGTGAAATGGAATTTGTTGCATCAGTAGCTGCAGTGCTGTAGCCCAGTGCAGGTGACCTCAGGAATGCAGAGCTGACTGTTGCCTCACATTTTAAGGCATAGTCATTGCTTTCAAGTCCAAAATGGGCTGGCCTTTGGTTACCTAAATCATCACTTCCTTGGAGACCTTTTTGTTGCTTGAGGCTTCACCATGAGTCCTAGGAATTGTCTCGTACAGCAAAAGACAGAGCCATCAGCAGCAGCTGACTGCCTTTTGGTGTTCAGCATTGCCACTAACCCTGTGACCCAGGAGATGATTTTGTGGATGCTTATGGGACATGAACTGCATGCAGGCACAGGCGCATCTTCCTGTGGGGAGAGACTCCTAACCGAGCAGGTGGCACGAGTCAGCCAGGAGGTTCAAGCTTTCTTTGGGGTTCCTTCTGTTGCAAAGCAGCTGCACAGAAAACATATGCCTGATCTCACTCAACAGTTAGCCCTGGTCTTTGGTTGGAAAGAATAGAGTTCGCGTCCGCTTAGAGGCAGGAGTAGGAGCAAAGTTTTGAGCAGGAAGCTGCAAGGGAAATTGAGTTCTTCGACATCTGCTTCTGGGTAACAAGGTAGCAATGGTTTCAGAAGTTCCTGTGAAAAGGAAGGGCCAATGTCTAGTTAATGACCACCTCTGCTCATGGCAAAAAGACTCTTAGTAAAAATGAATTTCCCAACAGAAATGTTTGTCGGTGCATCCTCTTCTCTGTTGGGAATCTAACCTGACTTACAGTATTTGCATGTGGAACTGGTCAGTTTTTAAGCCAGCCAAATGCATCTGGGATTTCTGCTGATGAAGGTTTCTGACATCAAGGGCATGGAGACAAGTGATGGCATCTTGGCTGTGCCTGTCTAGTGTGACGCATAGCTACTCTAACTTGGTGGTGGCAGTATCTCAATCTAGCTTTTGTTAAGTGCATTTAATACAGTAGAGAGAGGTGCTTTAAACTGTTGCTGATAGATATTGCTTAAGTTTGTCATTCCTGCCCCTCCCTTGGCTCCCTTGCTCCTTTCTAATATACAGAAAACCAGTTCTGTATTTCTAGGTGATTTTTTTTTGTCCTTCCTTCATTCTTTATGAGGCTTACCTTTTAGACTGGTTTACGTTGTGAGGGTTTGTGAGTTCGGGCAGTAGGTGTCTTTGATCTAGTTGTCCTTGTTTTGTGTCTCAGTTGGTGGAAACAGGCACTTACAATGATGTGAATCATGCCATAGGTAGGTGTCCAAATGAGGTCATCTGACTGCCTGTGGTGACTTATGCTTTGGGGAGTCTTTTCCCAGCTAGATGCAGGGTTTTTAGACCTGCTTTAGCCTTTTGACAACAAGAATATTGATAAGACAGCTTCCTTACTTGAGGTTGGAGAAACTTTCACTGGTAATACTGGTTTACCTGTTCAACCAGCTTCACTGGTTGATTTAAAGGACTGAAATCACTAGCTGAAAACAGAAGTGACGGCAAAGGCAGCTTCATCTCAATAAGGTTATCTCCAAGGCATGGGATCTACTAGAATGAAGCCTTGCCTGGGAAGTACTGCTGTGATTGACCCTATTGGTCTTGTGCTTCTGGTGCTGAAGCATTTGGGTTCCAACATCTTCACTGAAGCAAAACAATAGGTGTAAATACTCATAGCTGGCTGAGGACTACGTGCAGTGAAGAACTAACACGGAGATATTTCACAGAAACCTGGAGCTGACCCTGAACTTGGAGCCAGCTGTCTACACTTCCCATGGACAATGCTTTTTGGAAAATACATATTCACTCCAAACCCAATGTACTTTAGTTTCACAGTACGCACTGGGTGACGGCTTCAGCTAGCCTGGGTTGGAGTTAATGGTAAGTTTTGTCTATGCAGTGTGTGTTTGGATCTTCACAGACTGTGGAGCATGAAGAACAAAGTGACAACACTATTTGGTTTTAGATGGATGACATTATTTGACTTCTGTGTCCTAAAACAGAACTGTGCTGAACACGTCTCTGTGGCCAAAGCATAGGCTGATGATGCTGACCAGCCTGGACCTGGAGGCAATTTAGTGAGGATAACAGCTGGTTTCTAGACTGGGGGCAGGCTTTTTGGAGAACTAGGCTGTTTTCTCCAACTTCTGCTGATTGGAGCAGTTCTGAGTATTAAAATTTAAATATAAAATCTTAAAGTCATGATCATAATCTTGGATTGTGGTGTCTGAGTTTGTTCAAAGTCCTTTCCCAGATCTAGACTCAAGGGATGCATAAATCTGTATCCTAATGACTTTCGTTACACTATACTGGTAAGTGATATGTCACTTTTAAAAATGAGATTTAGAATTCTAACTAATTTACTTGTTCTTGAATATTTTACTGAGTCCATCAGCAGGACCAATCAATTCATTACCCTCATGCGTGGTGTAGCAGTGCAGGCAGTGGAGTGCGCACCCTACGGCAGAAAACACTGCCTTCACGCAAGATTTACTACCTCCGTGCTCTAAATCGTCCTGTTAAAGTTTAAATTCACTCCTCCCTTCTTTCTTACTCAAATATTTTTCTTTAATCTAGAAACTTTCTATACTTGGTCTCATCGGAAAATGTTAGTCTTATAAATTAAATTTTATATGAACCTATTACACACGGAAATAAATAAACAAACAAATAAATATAAACCACTGCTTAGAAACATGATGCTTGTAGATCCTCAAACTTCCCATTGACATTTCAAACTTTGGATGAGTTTTGACTTTTAATTCTTTGTGGTTTAGTGTTGATTGTACAAAAAACAAAATAAGCAATATTAGCTAAGATTTGGTGGCTCTCTAATAAAATTTCAAGCATTATTTTGTTAAATGTCTAGAAATCAAAACAGTGGAATGCAAAATTCTTATAAACTCCCATGGAACCCTGCTTTATTTAAAATAATGTTTTATGATGTCTAACACTAAGTTTACAGTTTCAAGCTGTATAATTAGCAGTGAATTTAGACAGTCTTATTGCTTTATACTTGCAAATTTGCAATGCATGGTTGAAAATATTCAGTATGCATTACCATGGAAGGGAAACCCACTTTTTGTAGGAGACGCACACATCGGATGACTCCTCACAAAAAACTGCATTGAGAACTAGAAGGCAGTTTATAATTCACGTAGCATGGATTGAATAAGGAATACATGGATAAGCTCTTACATTAATTTTAAGTTAGCATCATCTAGCTCTGTCACAAGTGTTACAAGACTGAAGATGTATTAGGGCATCAGTTGTGTTAGTCAGCTAAATTTGTCGTCTCCTAAAATCTCAGCGGGATCAAGTCTGACAAGGGCAAGGGTTTACAGTAGCCATACTGACTGGCAGAGGATGCATCCATTTAACTTCATTTATTTTCTGATTGAGTTGTGAGTCCAACAAGCCAAATAATCTTTTGAAGAAAAGACTGGACTAATAGTCAACAAAGAAATGGCTTAGTTTTTGCACAAGTAACTGTTTTCATTAGGGACACAGTGAACTCAAGTCAAAAAGAAGTGATGCTATACGAACAGCCTGGAAAAGGAGGCAATCAGTTGAACTGGTATCCCTCAAAGACCAAAGACTGCATCAAAGTCAACGCTTGCGCGAAGTCAATGGGTCTGTTCGTTTTCCACTTTAGGGGAAGCTGAATTATGCCTGGATTAACATGTTCAAACTTAACATGAGGAAAAAATTATGACTATGAAAAAGCCTTAGAGAAATGTTTAGTCTAGCTTCTTATAAATGAAAAAGCAAAGATCTATCTTGCAGTTAACAAAAGCTAGAGGACTTTGCAAATTCAAAGGGAATTTTAAAGGTTTAACAAGAACTGCCAACATTTGAAGGAGCCATAAATTTTCAGAAGTCTAAGTAGCCTCGATGAAACCTGAAAGGTAATTAGTTAGGAAATGGAGAACATACTATGGCTAGAATTTTACTGTAGAGAGAACAAGTGGTTCATATCAGTTCCCATTTTAATTGTACGAAGTATCTGCAGAAAAGTAAGGACATTGGATTCACTGGTATCTTTTAGGATAACTTTTCAGAGACTGGCTTCCTTTTAAGAAATAAAAACAACTGAGTTAATCCTAAAGATGTTTGCCTTTGAGATGTTCTAGATTACGGGCTAGTCTCTGTCTAAAAGTGTGATTTTAAAGTACTGGCCAGAACATCATCGGTCTGCTGTAAAACAGTAAAAAACTATACAGAGAGATGGAACAGTGGAAGAGAGAATGTCCAAAACACGTCAGATGCGATACTTCCAGTTCAGTCAGACATCAAACCTCACTCAACAGAATATCTGGATGGGAGGAGAGAGGAAGGAGGGGGAAAAGCTTTTGACTGGGTAGAGTGGTGATTTGTGTTGAACCTGTTTGTGAGCAAACATTTGACAAATGCTTCTTTCTTGACGTATTACAGTCATGTATAAATCATTGTGAATTGCTTCAGGCAAATTCCTGCTATTTGTATGGCATGGGAGGACAGGAAGAGTCATGAGCCTTGCCCTTTCTTTGCATTAGCATATGTCCCTCTGTGTAAATATAACTGAATGTGGGGATATTTCCATGTCCACCTGAATGGATATTGAAAGTTTGGGACCTTTTGGGGCTATTTTCTTTAGGGTAGAAAATCAACCTTTTAGGTTAGATGAGTTCTCAGGACAGCAGCTGCGTTAACTTACAAGAATTGTGCCCCGATTCTTATTCCCTTAAACACATCAAGTTCCTGTTCAAATGTTTACAAGCTGGCCCCTGGAAAGTTGCTTCCAAGAAAACAACTTTCATTTCACTCTCCTTTTTCAATGGCTTCCAGCCTCCAATCAGTATGAATTCACAACCAGAAAGTTTATTCTGTCTAGATTATTTCTTCATTCTCCTGAAGTGGTAGTTTTCTCACTGAAGTGGTAGTTATCTCTGAGCAGTGAATGAACTGCGTTGCTAGTCACTAATATTTAAAAAAACAAATTCCCCAGTAACATAAAAGCCATTCCCTGCATTTACCTTAGACAATTTTAACAATCATAGTTTATTCTCAGAAAACAGAAAAGCTCAAAATTAACATTTGAAGTGAAAGTTCAGCTGTAATTTTATGGCTCTGGAACTTTAAAGAAAATAAACTCAATAAAGACTATAGGACTCGTAACACAATTGCAAGGGCTTCACAGGTACTAACCATGCTATAAGGGAACTCAGTTCCTGAGTTCTAACCTGCTGATGAAGAAGTATAAATAACATATCTCACAGGCTCCCTTCTGAACTGAAATAATGAGGTTTCTCCAAACAACATCCTGAAGTGGTTCAGAGGTTAAATCAGTCCAGGGCCTTCTCTGAGAGGTGGTATGGATGGATTGTGAAGGTCATGGTGCCTCTAGCTCTTCCAGAAGAGCTCTGTCCTCAGATGTTCCAATGCCATGTCCCTCAATGTAAGCACAGTGTTGGTTTCACGCAACACAATCAAAAAAGGTGGCAAGTTCCAAATTGCCTTCTCATTAGTTTGGACATGTGGTAAAGAAATAATTGTTAAAGATTATGCTTTCTCAGATGCATCAAGAAACCACACAGTTGGTCTAAACCATTGTGGCAGTGTACCTTCAGCTAACCCAGACAAGAGAGCACAGGGGAGGAGAGATTATTTAGAATGTATTTCTAAATATTACCTCAAATGTTGTTTACTCCATTTTCCAAACCCTTGACAGGTTGCTTCTACTGCTTTGTGAGTCAGGTAAGTCACAGAAGGAAACTTTCCATTCTTTGCTGAAGGTGAAGCTGATTATAGCCATTCTAACAGAGCAATACAAGAATTTAAGTTGGAATCACAGAATGGTTGAGGTTGGAAGGGACCTCTGGAGATCATCTAGTCCAAGCCCTCTGCTCAAGCAGGGGCATCTAGAGAACATTGCCCAGGATCGTGTCCAGACGGGTTTTGAATATCTCCAGGGAAGGAGACTCCACCACCTCTCTGGGCAACCTGTTCCAATGCTCTGTCACCCTCACAGTGAAGAAGTTTTTTCTCAGGTTCAGATGGAACCTCCTGTGTTTCAGTTTGTGCCCGTTGCCTCTTGTCCTGTCACTGGGCACCACGGAGAAGAGTCTGGCCCTCAGTGATGCCCAGTGAAGGGAAGTCCAGGGAAGTCCAGCCCTTGCTCAAAGCAGAGCCAGGTCAGGTTGTTCAGGGCTTTGTTCTGTTGAATTTTGAACAGTGCCAAGGAAGGAGGTCCCACAAAATCCCTAGACCTCTGTCCCAATGCTTAACCACACGCACGGTCAAAATTTTTTTTCTTCTATCCAGTCAGAATTGCCTTTGCTGCACCTTGAGCTTGTTGCTTCTTGCCCTTTCACTGTGCACCTCTGAAGGCAGCCTGGGTTGGTCTTCCCTATTGCCCCCCCAATTAGGCAGATGAAAGCAGCAATTAGCTCCCCCTTCACCTTCTCTCCTCGCGGCTGACCAAACCCAGCTTTCCCTGTATGTGACATGCTCCAGCTTCCGACCTTCTTAGCGGCCCTTCCCTGGACTCTCACCAGTTTGCCAATGTCTTTCTTGTACTGGAAGAGGGCCCAAAAGTAGATGCAGCGCTCCAGATGAGCCCTCACAAATGTAATGCCTGGGGAAATTCTGCCTTCTGAATCATAAATTGCTGCCACTTTTGACCCATTCTGTTGCTTCAGGGAGAAGAACGGCAGAGGGAGGAAGTAAAGGGACATTATGGTCATGAAGCAAGAAGGAAAGGAAAGAATACAAGAGAGTCTCGTAGTCTGCTCCCAAGAAAAAGTTCAAAGTCAGTAACAATAATTCCCAAATAGATTTCTTCATTTAATCTTCATTTGATTGTATGAGGTCAACTACCCTGTTTGGCAATATTAGTGATTTTGTCAGTGCTTTGGCTGGGAGCCAGCGAGATGGATACCGCATTGGAAAGATGGGATTTGGGTTGTTATTAAACTGGCTGCATTTCACACCACTGAGAGCTACAGACCATACTTGGGGTTTTCTTTGTTGTTCCCCCCCCCCCCCCCCACCAAGTCTGACTAAATGAAGGTGCTCTGTTGTTCTTAATTAGAGGTCAGCCTCTGCCTCACCCAAGGCACTTTACTGACTGTTGACTATAAAGAGTCAAAGTCTTCGGTATGACTGCGTTCATCTCAGAATGGGTGTCTAAAATAGACTGGATGAACTGTACTTGAAAGGAGAACATTTTTCTCCACTGCCTACAAAGGGCAGTGGGGATGATTAGCACAAATATGGACATCTACGTGGGGGATATCTAGAGATGGATGGGTTGAGGCGCTCATGGGTTTTTATATACCAGTCATATGAGCTAAGTTCCCATCAAAGAGAGAAAGTGAGTCTGTCAACACAGATGGAAGAAAATAGCTTTGGCAAGCTGTTCATCCACATATAGAGAGGAATCCAACATGTGCTTGAAGTTTCATGCCACTATGATAATCTGTGGTTGGTAAAAGCAAAACTTCCAGAGATTATTTTGGAAGTTTTCCCCTCCCATTAAAGACAAAGATGGATGCCGAAAATCTTGGAGGCAGTATGAATTGATTTATAAAGGCACATCATATAAAGTCATTTATGTGGCAGGATACCTCTAGAAAAGAGAAGGGGAGATAGAGGATAGAGAAAAAAAGATGAGAGTGAGAAAGAAGTGCTGTGGGTAAGGTGAGGTGGATGTGAGTGAAGGGGTCAGCGTGTAGATGAAGGACTGAGAGGCAACCTGGTACGAAAGTTTATTTAGATGAGGTTATTAGATGAGCCAGGGCCTCATGTTGGTGAAAATGAAGCATGTGTGACAAGACAGACAGCATCCTAGGAGAGCTGTGAGTGTCAGGGAAGGATGTCGGTGAAAGCAAGAAAATTCATGAGTGGAAGGAGCCTGGAGAGTCAGAGTAAATAGAAGTCAGTGACGCAGAGGGCTGAAGAAGTCAGTTGAAGGTGATGTATGGATAGGATAGGTAGAGAAAGGCAACCGATGTCTTATGGACTTTGGGAGGGTGGTAGAAGGGGAAGGTCATGCAGACGAACCAGGAGGATGAGAGAAGACTGTGTGTGGTGGAATCTGTGAGGGGATTCCTCAGGGAGAGGTGAGAGATGGCCAGTGAGAGCCAGTGAAACTGGAAAGTCACATACACAGCGAGCGTTTGTAACTCCTGCCCTATAATGACCTCCCAGATTTTAACAATTTGCAGGTCAGGGATTTCCTGAGGATGTTGTAGTTTGTTTTTTTCCAGTAATGCCTAACAGAAGTCTTGTACAAGTCTTCGTCTAGTCTCCCCTCAAACCGTTCCTGGAGGGAGGGACTGGTGGAACTTATTTAATGGCAGAAGCAGACCTGAAGAGGGCAGTAACTGAAGGAAGCCTGTTAATGAAATGACTTCAAAGAAGTAGGTTGAGTATGAGTAGGAAGAGCTAAGTTCAAGGTAATTAGGGAACATCAGAGTAGGAACAAGGAGATGTAAGGACTTAAGAACCAGCTGAGGAGCTGCTAGAGCGATAACTGGGAATAAGAGACCCACACAGAGCAAACGGGATTGCGAGTGAGGAAACACTGCAGGGCCCAGCAAGGCAGTCAGTTGGGCGGAGAAGCCAGACGGAGCATGTGAGAAGCATGAGGGACGCTGGAGAAAGCAACAGCACTTGTGCCTCGTCGTGAGGGCTGGAGCTCCGCTGAGGAAAGTGATGGCATCATACCCGCTGTCGCTATCGAGGAGCCACCCTGCGGGCGATGGTGGCCCGGCGCGGCGCAGGGCTCTGAGGAAGGCGAGGCGGGTTGGGGACAGCGGGGCGGCGGGGCGACACGCGAGGCAGG